TTAAGCTTTGCTACACATCGCTGACATCAAGCTTATGTTTTGACAGACTCATGCTGAAACCAGATAATTCCACCATCAAGCCCACTATACCACCACAGTATCTCTCTGCTTAGACAAGTACTTAGGCATTAAAAGAAAATAAATATAAAAATACCACAGTATTTGTTAAAACATACCAGGGTGCTTGGAGATTTAAAAACTTCTCCAAGAGACCGGTAATATTACACTGGGTTCATTATGACGTGCCACAGCACACAACATTTCCTACTTGAGACTCAGCCTAAGACCAGAGTACCTGGTCACCAAAAAAATCCCAACAGTTGCCATTAACTTTGTAAACACAAAAGAGATGCTGAAGGTGGTGAAGGTAATTTAACTGTGGCCTAACAAATCCAAGAAGTATTAGAAAATTGTGTACTTCATGTGGTACAACTGAAGCACTTCACCATTGAGAAATTTCAGTTATTTGCTACATAGAAGTAATGAGAAGAGAATGGTTTAAACTTTTATGGATTGTAAAATAACAGCCCATGCAAAGCTGTCTGAGTGAAAGTATTATCTCCTCGGAATAAAAGGTTGTATGGGAACACTGAAAGTGAGCAACCCAAAATCCAGTTGCACAGAACTAAGTCTTAGAGTTACAAAAGAGGTTCCTTGATCCTCTATACTCTCTACCCACAACAGCTAGTACAGGACCTGAAGCTTTCAGGCTCTGTAAATTCCAAAAGCAAAGATGAGAACCTAATGCATAAAGTATGGTGTAAAAATGGTTCCATATCTCCTTAACAACCACAGACAAGCATGAGCATCAGCAGTGCTGTACCTATGTGAAATGGCTAGGCAAGGCAGTCTACGTAGATACTAATGAGAAAAGCTCTGAGACATAACACAACACCAGCTTTTTAAGCACACAAACTATACACAAAACACAAATTCAAATACAGTCCCTAAACAACAATCTACTATTTTGCTTTCTATAGAAAACAAACAAACATTTTATTAAAGGAAGATATGTTTGGGTTTTGGGAGCTACTTAACTCATCCATTCTAAGCTAAGACTTAAGACTTAGATCTGTAAGTTTTTATAGATTTGGAACATAACTGCAGACAATACTGCCATTTCATGTGCTTAGTAAAGAAAAGTATTTAAGGGGAAAGAAAATAAGAATCTGAAGCACAGAAGGAACTTTTGAGAACACATTTATTACTTCAGCAGCAAGATAATATTAGCATCAAATGACAGGCTTTCACCTACCTAATGCTTCAAACAGCAAGCATGAAATGAATGCGGGTTTTGGACTGACAAACAAAATGAGCAAAGCTAAATAAATGGCAGAAAAAAGAATGGGTACCTGGTAAACACATATCTGGGAAGCACCACACTTGTGGCAATAGTGTCCAAATCCTGGCAGAAAGTTAAAATTCAGCTGTGTCTATAATCAAGCAGTATCAGTTAAGATTCCACAAAGTTAAGTTTGGCTTTTAATGATGGAAAGCATTTCCTCCTTTTCCATTTTCTTCCCATAATGAAGGGACAAGTGCAAAACTATTTACTCATATACAGTAACACAGAGGTGTTCATTGGAGTCAAATGACAACTAAAATTCCCCTCAGTTTTTCTGTTCTCATCAGTACCTCTTATGAGCAGATTTTTTTAATATCAAAAAAATCGACAACAAAAATATCTTTGCATTCAAGGTCTTTGTAATCTATGAAAATTAATAGTTATATGCTGCAAGTCGCATTAAGAATGTTAACACGTTTGTGCACAATGTCAAAGAAACTGAGTACCAGCATTTCCCATTGATTTCAGCTGGCACTAAAACCATTGATGATCTTAAAAAAAAAAGCATGACTCAAAAAAGCCCACAACCCAATAGAGTAATACCATCAGTTTACTGAATGCCTCTGAAAATAAGGCAAACAATGCGCCTAAATATGGAGTTTTATCTGCCAAGTTTGTAAATACAACTCTAACATGCAAGGCCTAACAGAAAGCATAGATTCCAGAAAGAGGGAAAAAAAAACCCATTACATCAGCCCCACCCCCTAAAACACAAATTATTTTCATGTCACATTGTGGCCCATTCACAGCTTAAGAGACAGAATTACAATGTTTAGTGTTATCATACCTCTCAACTTACTCTGAAATATGGAAAATGTCTGAGGAAGAGATATTTTCTAACACTGGTAGGAACCAAATAAAATCTCTTACAGTGAATTCTAATCAGACACCAGCAGCACAGCTAGCTGTTCCATAGCAAAATGAATATGACAAACTGGAAGATACAATGTCAATGGTAGAAATTACTACAAGTATATAAATCATATCTGAAGAAGGGAAAGAAACTGCATAGTTTGACAGTACATGTAATCTATCTTAAATGATACAAAGTAGAGTAATTTTAAAGGATTAAAATACACCTTTAAAGGCTACTATCTAAGAGAAAGCTGGGGGAAGCTTCTGTATTTGGCTTCTGTGATTTACAGGGTCCTATTCTTTGCTAGTCTTTCTCCAATTTGTCTGCCAGATCTGATTACCAGATGGCTAAAATAAATGTATTGTGTTCATTCATGGTAACAGAAGTTGTCTTTAAGGGTTCTGTCACGGCTTCACTATCTTTTCCTTTGTACCTACTCCTCCTCCTGTGAATTGATTAGATTTCAAAGCTAAGTTTCATCTGAGGGCCATTCTGCTGAATGCTGCATTGAAAAGCATATTATCTATTCAAGGGAGCACATACAGATGACCACAGGATACCACAAACCTGTCCCAAAGCAACAACCACCCTACTCTGCCAAGAAAATCGATTGTTTGATAATCTCAGGATATGGATTTCCAGAATTAAGTATCTGTCACTAACATGAATTCTAATGCAATCCAAGAAATAGGTGACAGTTGGATAGAAAAAAGGAAATGAAAAGCAACATGCACATGGCAAAGCCAAGAAAAGTAACAAGACTAAAGTGAAGACAGACAACAGCAGATGAATGACTTGGAGAGCTATCCTACACCTCAAGAGTGGTATTTGTTCACTAAATGGTTTTGCTTAATTTGGCAAACTGCTACAAGCCTGCAAGTAAAGAAGCTGAAAGAAAAGGGCATGAATGCACTGTAGCATGATGGAACGTGTACGGTTCTACATGTCTCCTTTCCTTAAGTAAAGATACACATGCAATCTGTAATCTCAAGTGATAACACTGTCCTAGAAATCTCTTAGATAAACCCATCTTTGAGTGGTTTTGCTACAGGTGTGAACCAGGTTATCCAACAGATCTCTTCCTGCAATCAGCTGTTTCTCTAATCTGGATTCCATCTATTGAAAACATCTAATACAGTTTATTAGCCCCTCAGTGTTATTTATTTATTCATAAATAAATAACATATGAACATTTTGGGTTATATTCAGTTTAGTACAATGATTCTGTGTCTTAGTCAAAGCTTGGATGTCATAGAACTGGCATCTGAAGGAAAGCTTTTAATATATATGAAAATCAGTGTAGTGAATCATCTAGTCAAAATTTAAATTATCAAACTGACTGAACACAGAAGTGTGGCTTCAGAACTAAGATGAAGGCTATATTTGAAAAAACCAAACCTGTTTTTCATCTCATTTAACTTTCCTCACTTTTCCTGAAGCACCTCCATTAAGTTTAATTCTTCTAAATTTTACATTGGAAGCTTCATTGCTAATTATATATAAGCATGATAAAATTAAAAAAACAACAACTGGGTACAGTATACCTTTTGGTAACATTTGTCATTCTCTTTATTTAAACTATGCTTTTAGCCTTTCAATACTTTTTTTTTTTTTAGCCAATAGCATTAATTCCTCATCATGGTATTTGAAACAGACTGTGGTACAAATATTGGGAAATAAAAAACCTCAGAACACTTGAAGAACAACAAAAAAAAAATGAGTAGACAATATACCTGCATATTTTTTTTAACCACAGCACAAACATATGGCCATAGAATTGGGATGTATTCTCCTTGTATACTGAGGAGGTTATAAGTATTTTTTTGACAGTTTATCAAGGGTCAGTCTGGGCCATACACAAGAATCAATAACAACCATGTAAAGCCTACAGCAGTGCACACTAACAGGCTGTAGGAGGCATTAACACTAGCTAAAAGAAATAACTGTATTTTCAATGAACTTGTTCCTCTTGGATAATCAATTTTTTACACTTCTTACCAGCTGTTCCCACATAGCTCAGGTAGCAGAATGGAAGCAGCTGTCATACAGAATCCATATATTACATGCATGTTATGAGGTCTTAATCTTCCGTAGATGTTTTATGTTTGCTAATTTTGATCAGTCATATCAACTTGAGAGCAAGACGAAAACAAATTCACCACTTGTATTTAGGCAAGATGTAATCTACACAAATATGCTAATCTGGCTCGATTCATTCTGGATGGTAAAAAAAGAATACTAATTGTGAATCTGCCAATGCCCCATCCTCAAAATCTATTTATTCCACAAGTAAAATTTCATCTTTAAAATGAGTTTGCCCCACCGCCCACATTCAAGAGATTTGTCTCAATCATTGTTTCAGAAATACTGAGTTATAAGGTGCCATAATAATTACTATGGAATAAATAGCAATTAAGATTGTTCACACAAATAAGCTCAAACTGTTTGCAGTGAATAATTATGCTAATAGTGTTTTTCTACATAATTTGTGCATCCTTCACAACAATCTACTAGAAAATGTGAAATGTAAATTTGATGCACTACTACAAAAGCTCTGAAAATGTTTAGTTCTTATGATTTCTTCCCCACTAATTTAAGAAAGTACACAACTAAAACATACTTCTACATTTGTATATTTAAATTCAAAGAAATCAAAGTATGCTGAAACTGAAGCAGTCATTTTCTTTCATTGTAGTCTTACGAAATCATCCAAAACCATATGTGACAGACATGCTCATTGCTTAAACCTCACACGAGTTGGAACACAACTTTTAGCAATTTGAAAGAAGCTGAACTTACTGCTATATAGTAAACTTTGGCCTTTTCCACCAGCTTCCAGTTCTTCTCCAAATCAAGATGCTTTTCCTTATTATAGCAATTAGCAGCAGCAAGGTTAGCTACAAGAGACCTGAAATGATTGAAAACCAAGCATTAGACCTTCTTTAATTAATGCTACTCCAAATTTCTCCTAAAGAATAAAATTTTTCTCAAGACAATCTAAGATCCTAAGGAAGATAAAGGCAATTAAAGAGCACCACAAACCACAAATACTTTATTTGACCATCTCATAATACCTAAATAATATATTTTAAATAATATATTAAATTTACATTTAAACCATATATTAAATAATATTATTTAAATCCAGCTCCATGGTTTATTTAACCTATCGCTATTATACACTGTTCATGTGCTTTTATTTGCTCAGAATCAACCTTTGTTGCATTTTGTGACTGACTTCCTCTATATGATACAGGATTTGAAGATTTTATTAAAACTCTTCTAGCACCTAACACCTAAAGTAAAGCAGCTACTCCAGCTTTCCTTCTGGAAACTATTTTCTCTCACCGGAAGCACAAAGTTGGTGGATATGTATGACTTGCCTTTATAACTTTTAATGTATAATTACATTATTTAAACAGGTTTTTTTTCTTTTTCTTGTTTGGTTCATATTTTCCTTTGGCAACTGAAAAAGGATCATGTTGCTACTTATAGATGATGAACTGTTTAAAAAAAAAAATGGCTTAGCTGTGCATCACTACAAAACTATCAGAAATTCATTTGTACTTCATTCTTTCCTAACAAGTTGTAACACAAGCCATGGGACCCAACTTCCATTAGCAAGAACAAAAATATTTGTATCATACCTACTTTCTTACATGTAAGATACTGTCTATGTTAAATCTGTCTCTTCAGCTATTCAATTCAACTTAATGAAACACACAAATCTTAGACATGCACTCCTAAAATTAGGTCATAAGAAAATGGTAGCTCTCCACTCTGTTTACCATGACCAAATCCTTCTGTGCAATTTTACAGTGAGAATGTTTAATAACATCCAATATTTAGAGAAGGGGAGATGGGGAAACAGACATTTCCATGCCAACATACAGAGTTTTAATTTTAATTTTCAATATTTAATAGTCATAAAGAGTCACCTTCAACACGTCACTGTGACATTTAAATACATGAGGAAGATAATGTGTAACTACACATACAACCTATGCCTATAGAAAACTTTTGCCTCCTCCAGCGTGCATACAATTTATGTTGCTTGTATCATCCTTTTCCATATAAAAGCCCTTACAATCCAGAGACACTGGGTCAGAGTCAAATGCTAATCTGCTTCTACCAACTTAGGCTTCTGCCTCCAGCCTGAGTACCAGGTAGAGGTGTTGTAAGGTAACAAAACTAAGAGTTCTTGAAAACATATCCCACCTCAAACCAGCATATTTCCACCATCAACATTTCTCTTTGTCCTATTCAGTAAAAAAACAAACAAAAGCCCAAAAGAACCCCTTATGAATACAGCAACTGAGTCTCCCTGCAAAATTCCTGAAGCACTCCTCCACAACAATCCTTGTAAGTTAAACAGATCAGGTACATAAAAATTAAAGCAAAAAGACTTTTTCTAATTATGTCAAAATACACAGCACACTTCTGTGTCATATCAGCCCAGGAATATTCTTGAGGCTTCTCTCTTGTAATTCTAAATCCTAAAGGCAACAAGACCTAACATGAATATGGATTTTTTTTTTTTTTTTTTTAAAAAGTTATAAACAAGTAGACTAAGCCTCTGTAGCAGTACAAGCAGCAGGGAACAAGTTTCATTCTTGATGAATATTACCATTTCAATGACAAGTAAAACACTGGAGAACCAAATAAATCCAAGAAAGACACATGCATAAATGTAATTTTCTGTAAACCAGAATTTAAAAATCAAATTACATCTTTAACTTTTGGCAAACCCTAAACATCCGTCAGAGACATAGATGGAAAAATATTGCCTGTCTATGTATGTTGCTAAGTGAAAAGCAATTACATACCAGAAAACTAAGCAAAGACTCTCTTATGTTTCCTTTCACTTACCACGTAACCCTGAAACTGTAAACCAAGCTCTCTGTGGCTACATCCAACCGTAGAGATGCTCTGCACATGATGTGTAATAGAAGATTATTACACTGAAGACAAAGCACCAAGCTTTTCCAAATTAAAACTGTAAGTCTTACAGCACTAAGTTCAACATGTGGAACACAGAGAAGGTAGATGTTTTTTCAATGAAATACAGTAATTGGAGACAGCCAGTGCTTTAAATCAAACAGCCTAATGGACTCAGTGCATGTGAGTATTTGATCAGAAAGGACAAATCAAAGCCACAGATTATGACAAAGTGTACGTGCTATTTTAGAGTTCAATCACGTGTTACGAGTTTTATGTAAAGCTCTCAGAAAACAAAGTGTATTAGTATCAATAAGCTAGAGATTTCAGTGGTAATCACAAATTAGCTCAGAATCCTTTCCTGCTAAAAGCTAGACAGTCTTACCAGAAACAAGAAACATTCACATCAGTGCATCTGGAACATAGATGTACACAGGCACTTACTGAGAAAACCAGGGGGGCTATTTGTCAGCTCCTCCAAAGACACAAGAAAGCTGAGTTACGTGAAAAAGGAAGTTATCATGTACGTGATAAATTTATCAACTAGGGGACAGGTTGAAGTGATTCTTACAAATATAAAGAATGCTGAAAACCAAGAAACAACTAGAGGGTAAGTAAAGAAAGAGAATAAAATTGCTCTCATTAGAAGGCGAGAAGGAGGGTTGCACAATAAAGCCTTTAGCAGTGGCCTTTTTTTTATCTCCTGAGGACAGAAATAAGTTTTTTGTACTCCCTGCACACTCTCAAGCATGCTCTAAAACAGCAATTGAGATGAAGTAATTGTTTCTATTATTTGAACAAAGATTTGATACTGAAAGAACTTTTATGTTAGCAAACCCAAAATACTGCTTAATAAGTTAAAGTACTTGCAGACATTTTTATGAGTAAATTTATCTAAACTTTTAAATTCCATTGAGATGCAGAGCAGAAGATGCACATATTTTTCCTGAATTCATGATGTATGTCTATTGACAGTCTTGACTTCAGTTTCCCATCATGTCATCTAGGAAATGGTGATTGCTACAGAATGCATACACAGACACTATGTGACCAAAGAGAGAGAGAGAGAGAATCACAGGGCAGAAACATCTTTATTGCTTTATTACTTGTCTTCTCTTTGAAAAACTGAATATGGATCCTGGAGATGAAGGGGGAAGTCTGTAGACATAATTAATGTCAAAACTCCAGATGAAGATGAATGAACTTCCTTCCTCCGCTGAGTATGAACATTCATTCCTGAGAGTAAGACATTATGTATGACATTAAATTGGGAGGGACAGGCTGATAAACTGGAGGACAGGGCTGTCTGTCATTCAGTGGATCTTCAACAGCCTGAAGAATTAGGCTGGCAGAAAATTTCAAGGCAAATGCAAAGTAATACAACTAGGATGGAATAATTTCCATGGAGCAACATAGGCTGGATGTTGACAGCATACAACACAGCTTTGCAGTAAAGGATCTCGAGGTGCTGGTGGACCAGGCCTGGAACATCAGTCAGCAGTGCACCCACACAGAGAAAGTTAATTACATTCTCTTCTATATATGCAAGCATGCAGACAGCAAGATAAAGGAAGTTATATATTCAGACCTCTGAATTGTTATATATATTTTGAGTTATATATCCAACCGCTGTTCTGGTCTCCAGACCTCATCTGGTGGTCCATGTCCAGTTGTGACCTTTCCATTACAAGGAAGACACTGGCATAATGGAGGGAGTCCAGCAGTAGGCCATCAAGATTATTAGAGGGCTGGAACTCTCTTGGTTGAGCATTAAGAAGAAGTACCTATAGGGAGACTTGCCTATTTTCTTCAAATATCTGATGAAAGTCTACAGAGAAGATGGAGCCAGACTATTCTTGGACAGAAGGAACAGACACAAGCTGGAAGAAGGAAAATTCAAGCCAGGTATCATCAAAATAATTTCTCCCATGAAGAGTGGTCAAACATTGGAACAGGTTGTACAGAGAGGCTGCGCAACCTCCATCCTTGGAGATATTCAAAACCCAGGTAGAAAGGGCCCTGAAAAACCTGATGTGACTTTGAAGCTGGTCCTGCTTTCTGCGGGGGTTAGGACCAGATGTTTACTCTAATTAAAATTGTTCTAGGGTTCTATATGCTATATAGAAAATTCTCTCTCCTCTGACTCTCAGTTCAGTTCATGTTGCTGCATATTGCCTTTTTTAATTCTACCCAAACCATTCACCAGCTTCTCAGGAAGTCTGGTGTTTTAATTATAGGACTGCTATCTTACTTAAATAAATTCCAATAACTCCTGATACAGTTTTGAAAGGCAAAGAGCAGTTCCTCATTCCTCAGTTCAATGGCACTGAAAGCCACAGAGAGATAGCAAAAATCATAGTGACAGATATTTAGCTCTTATTCAGAGCAAAACTGAAGACATTCTTCAGGGTAACCAACACCATTTTTATTATTGTTTTAATATCTAGTATCAGAAAATTTACATATTGGCAGAAATCACAGATGATTGGTGTGTCCTGGTAGCATCTCAAGATTAAGGCAGACTTGACTAGATGGTTCTGAAATCTTTAAAAAATTGTCAAGAGGTAACCAAACTAGCTCAAGAGTTGTGGGTGCAGAGAAAAAGAACACGACAAAGGGCCATGTTCAAAATAAATGCCTATCATCTTCAATATCTCTTTCTGAAATTCCTTGCTTTATTAATTTCATTACAGTATGAAAAATAAATCACTCTATAAATGGGTTCTTACTTATGGAATGCTCTGAAACCATGCAATAGACCACAAAAATTATTGTTCATAGTCTACAAATACAAGAGAAGATGAGTTCTGAAGAAGTGATTTTTTAATAAACACCACCCAAAAGAAAGCAGTAAATGAAAACATGAAAGACAAAATTCAGAAGAAGTAGTTAAGATGTAGGCAGGGAACAACAGTTATTAGATGAACTTCTCAACGCAAAAAAACCCCAGCTTTTTTCTTCCTTTTGTATAAAAGCAAATGAACCCTTTCAATCAGGCTTTATGCTGACACCTATCCACTTTATACACATTATACACCTGAAGTATATTCCTCATTTGCTCACCAAGGATATGCCTTACATGCCCATAAGCCTTCAGAAGCTGCACAAACATGCTTGTTAACCAGATTCTGTGTCCTGAGTATTTTCTGTCTCCAGAGCAACTGGGAACTATAAAGTTCAGAAAGAAGTAATAGATTACTAACTCACACTACTCTACCCCAAACTATGAGCTAGGCAGTCCTATGGGATCTCAAACTAGTGCTAATACTTTTTTTATCATTCAAATCACAGTTTTTCAAGGCCAAATATTCCAAGCAAATCAGGCTTCACACATGATGCTGACTGCATTTATATCTTCAGAAAATATTCAAGGGCCCTGACCTGTTATCACTAGTGATGCAGGCAGCACAGGTTCCTGTTGGTTCTTCACTCTGCTCATAGTAATGGGCATCCACGTGAGCTTCTTCAGCCTTCTTCTTTAAGATTTCTCCAAATTTATCTTTGCCAATGCACCCAAAGAAAGTTGCAGCTTTGTAAGGGCTCTGGATCATCCACTGCAGATTGACAGAAAACAAACAAAAAATTCCAAAGTTAGCATGCCCTGTGTATTATTTTTTGCCTTTTTTCTTTTCATATTTAATTCTGCCTACAAAGTACTGTGACATACAGAACATTTCTATGCCTGAAGTAAAAAACATCTAATACAAGGAATGGAAGTTCAGCAAAGAATAAAAAATTCACCCTTTATGATCCCACTGAGAGTTTAATACCTAATTTAAAACTTAAATGCATGTAATCCACTATCAAACCAAGTAGATCAGTATGTTTTTACAAGGTCTTTCAGAAGCAGTTCCCTTGCTCAAAGGAGATGCCCCTACACTTCCATTTAATCAATCAATATATTGCATCTTTAAAGAAAATTTGTAGAAAACAAAAGGAAAGACAATAGAAACAAAAAAACCCAAATATACCACAAACCCCAGAAAAATAACACGTAAGGAAAACAATACATTTGAAAAATCTGAGAAGAAACATTGTGCAACATTCACAACATGCATAAAAAAATAAATGGTACTGAAAAATAACTATTTGTGTCTACCATTTAATTATATGCAAAAAAGGAAACGTTCCCCATTTACATTGTTAAACCACGCATGAAAATATCTATCCCCAACTTTCTTAAGAGCAGTTCTGTCACTTCAATTGTACAGAAAGAGCACAGCTACACAGTGTTGCTAAGGTGCCAGGCTATTTCATAAAGCTCCTCTTTTGTTAGTACAAAATATGTATCATTCAACTGTAAACATAATGCCATTTTGTACGAAGTGGAAAAAAAAGGCATTTAGCAGCAATGTAAAAGCAAGAGTGAACTAAAAAAATAATTGTGAAGAAACAATCACAGGCCCTGCTCTGCTGGTGCTGAGTCAACCAACTGAAGTCATTATAATTTACTCTAATTACAGTCACAAAGCTTATCCACTCAATCTATAGTATGATTTAAAGGCTAAATCAACTTACTGCTATACTCAAATCCTACTTATAATTGTTGCCTAATCAAGATTTAAATAAATGATGTCTCCATTACAAAGCAGCATTAGTGGTAGCTGTGGGTTGTAGAAAGGTCAAGTAACTGAGTTGCAAATACATGCTTAGTCACATCTTTATTACTTCCAGCACCAGAGAAGGAAAAAAAAAAGGAAAAAAAAAAAAAATTACCTTTAGCCATGTAAAAGTCTTTCTTAATATAGCAAAGGTGAACAAAAGTTGAAAGGCCTTTTTCCTGCAGCAATTTAATATAGATAAAAATTTAAGGACAAAACCAATTGTGTTGTCAGATGGTGGCAGCATTCAATCTCTTATTCATTAAATGTTCACTACATATGCTCTGCTCATCTATTCCTTATCACTCTAAATTAATATAAATCAAGAAAACCCCTAACAAGAGAATTATCTATGATATACTTGTGTGTTACATACACTTGCACATACATAATACATATTTTCACAGGGTTCATTTAGGATGTCTTAGGAACCCCAAACTTTTGTGTTTGGAGGTATGGTTAAGTAGAACAGATTATTTAACAAGTCTAAAGATGTTGTTACCTACTGTAAGGAACTATGGAACCCCTTTCCACACCAATAAGTACCTGAAGTTTTGCATCTCATGTTGAAAAGCCTACCTCGCTCTCTCTCAAAGGACAAGAATTAATAGAGATCACCATGAAGAGCATTTATCAAAGCATCAAACCCCAACAATTCTTCAAAAAACATAAGACTTTAAATTGCACCTTAAGCTTACAACATTTTATCAAATGACATAACTTTTCCATCCTTTACATATAAGGTCTGACAGCATTTGAAGTAGTACTAAGTAACACCTCACATACATTTCTGAAAAAAAGAAATTCTTCTCAAGTACCAGTTTTGGCTATTGGCAGCAGCTCAGTTTTAATTCAGATGTGATACATGCCATATATAACTGTTACAAAACTTATTTTAAATGTAAGTAAAGTTATTCTTGAGAATCAGAAGGCACAATCCAGGATTTCTTGAGATGAACCTCTGTACACTATGCAGACCACTTCTTCCACAGTACTTCTGCTCATACTCATGATTATATGCAACACAGGTATTAGCTAGTGGGGGAATATTCCCATTATACAGATACTCTTTTCATTTGAAAATATGAGCCGAGTTAAACAACACTGAAGAAGATGGAAAAGTGGTTTAGCAGTGTTTCTGGAAAGATCCTCTCACCACAGATCTCGAGTTACAAATTCTTGGAATTATCTCCACATGTTCCCACAGTAATGGTGGTGAGGTGTTGCTAGTCACAGAACTCCTCCAAACTGTTCCCTCTTTCCTTAGCTAAAACATTACATATTAGTAAAGGCAAAAAATAGAAATCACATTACAGACTTGATGAAACTGAACTAAAAAAGTATTTTTATGGAATACTGTTGAAGTTACACTTAGTGGAATGAGTCACAGCAGGCATTTTTTGCATACGTGTGAAAAATCAAGAGAGGCAAAATAACACCTCTAAGGTAGACTCTGGAGTACTTTTTAAAAACTTGACCCTGGATTAGAGTTTAATATTTAATAACCTGATATGGAAAAAAACAGGCTTCTATGGGCTACTTCACACACCATTGTTGCTGTTGTTATTAATAATATTTAGGCTGAAACACTCTAAACGAGAATGAGGATCACTCATCACAAGACATTTATCACCATGAAACAGTCATACAGCATTATTTCCAATATGAAAAGAAGGCAAGTAACTAATTGCACACATTGGTGCCAGGTATATGGTTATACAAACTGTAAATCCATTTTATAGATTTATGTGGAATACAAGATTTAATTGAATGAAAAAGATTCTAGACAGAAATGGAAACTGACCCAGCTCAGCAGGCACTAGCATAATGAGTTAATTATCTAAGGTTTGGCTAGGCAGTGAGGCAGCTATTAACTAACTATTGACAGGCTGGTCAGGGCAGGTTGGCACCTGGCCACACCATGAACCCTCACCATCACCCAAGGGAATTTGAGACTGTTAATGGCCCAAAGACAGAAATGTCAGAAGCAGGAACTTACGGAGCAACAAGACAGTCTCAGGAGTGGGATACCACAAAGAAAACTCAAAATCTAGAATGGTTGATGACATCTAATGTGTTCCTGTATCCCAAAGTTTTCTTCTGTCAATGCAGTGTGGACATGAGGTATGCACAAGGACAGGCCCTGACCTTCTCAGTTAGGATAAGCATCCGTGACCAAGGAAATAGAACACTTTTCAGATCTTCCCTTGAGTCAAACAGATTGATCTTC